ACGTGCCGCCCGTGTGGAAGGTAGGAACAAGAAACCGTATGGGGGATCACTTGATGCTTGCGGGTTGAGGAGCACCGAAAAAGTGGAAGGATACATGAACAGCGCTTGGAAGGAGATGAATGAATCAGGTGCTCAGAGTTGGCCCCATGCTACCCCTAACCTAGTCGGTAGTGCGGTTCACCCAAACATGTGGAACATATGGTACTATTAGCTGCTAAACGAAAATGCCCCTCCCCCCCCNCCCCCCCCCCCCCCCCCCATTTCCGCTCTCGTCGAAACCATTTACGGACGTGGTTTGTTTGCCCTGTGGCTTCAACCCCAACCAGCTTCCGAACGAAGTTGCCGACGAGGACGTCCGCAGCCTAGTCCTCTCCGTAGACGTCCTCAAGGACCAAGTGTTCGTGGAACAGGAGAAGGCAAACGTCTTGGAGTGTCGCGGAAAGAGAAGAGGCAGCAGCGGCATGGCCTTGACTGAAGCAGGTACCCCCCCGCAACAGCGACAGCAGCAGCAACAACCGCACCGCAACGGAGGTGCGAAGACGAGGGTCGGGAGGCCGGCGACGACGTTGGTCCGCGGGAAAAGAAGCGGCGCAACCAACAGCGTCAAGGGACGCGCGCGGCAGCAACAGCCGAAGGGGCAGGGCGATGTCACGCCGGCGGCGGCGGTGGCAGCGGATCGCGATGAGGAGTGCAAGGAGGGGCCTCGTACTGCCCTGGAGGTGGCCGTGAAGATTCACAGGGGGGCCCTCCCAGAAATGCTTCGCCTCAAGGAGCACTTCGCGAGGTGAGGGGAATGTGGGGGGGGATTGGGAGTAAGTGTAGGTGGTGGAAGAGTCCAAGTAAGAGTCGTTGCTGCTTGGTGTCGGCATAGCGGTGTGCGGTCGAACGTGCCACGCACGAACAGGTGGAGAATCGTTAGTAGCTTGTTTTGTTTAGGGTTGCATGTATCACATCATCTAAACAAACGTAGCGTCCGGGGTGTCTAGGTGTTTTTCTTTTCCCCATGTTGTGAATGATCTCTATTGTGCTAGTATTGCCTTAGTTATCCTGACGTCGCCCCCACCGCACTTTTCGTTCGGTCGCACATCGCCTTGCTCGTGTCTCCGAACGCTACGTTAATCATCACCGCCACTATCTATGGCGATTCATCGGCGTGACATAGCTCGATGCGCTTGGACGTCGGCAGTCTGCTCTACTACATGTGAGCAAGAGATACATGAGAGTCCGGTGCGCGATACTGTTGTACGCTCCTCCGCCACCTCTCGCAGTGTGGCGGAGGGGTGGACTGTGAAGCGTGCCAGATTTCCGCCCGGCCGTTCGTTGCCCCATCAAGGGGCAGCGTAACGTTGTAGTTGAAGATATCGAGACTGCGTGTGTCTTCGATGTAGGCGGGAGTGCAAGCAAGTCTTGACCGCCCAGAGTAAAGCCGTGCGCACGACAAGGCATGATGCGTTGTTCACGGCTGCTGCAAAAACGATAAACTTTTTGCTGTCGCGTAGTCACACCCCTAGGATGTATCCTCTCGAGCTGAAGAAGCTCCATGATCAGGGAATACGCCGAAAGAATCCCGTCAGCCACGCCGTATGCATTGTATGTCTCCATTCTCAACGTGTTCTGGATAGACACTGACACTGACAATACCAAGTCTTGGTTCCGGCGTCTCTTGTGGCGCGAGCAGGAACCTCTCGCTGCTGCAGCTAGTCAACCACGGTGCTGGTGATGGTGGTGATGTCGCCGATGCGGTCGAGGCCGTGCAGCGGGGCCTGCGCGTGATCCTCCGGTTCCCGGGCCTGTGCCGCTACAAGTGTTGGTGCGTGACGCACAGCTGCAGCAACAACATGACGATGCAAAACAAACGTGCACTGCCCTTGTAGAGCAGCAACGCCACCCTCCAAAGCAAACAGCATTGCACCCTGCGCTTGCATTTGCACGCCGCACGACGATGACGACCCTGGTAACATCGGCCCTGGTCGGCAAGTCTCGCCGTCCCGCTTGTTTCTGACAGGATCATCCCCTTGGGACCAATGTTGCTAGCGGAGTAGGTCTTATCTACCGTGGCCTGTACCAACTTTCTGCTTTCGGCTCGCTTGCGGTAACGCCCCCCCTCCTACTCCCCGATGCAGGTCGCACCTCTGTCACACCCAGCTGTGGTGTTTAGCCCTTGGCCCCGACCGCGAGCCTTACGAGGAGCTGAGAGCGGCGTACAACCCCGTGAGGCCGTCAGGGTCGCCACTAGTCCCCGCGTTCGAGCACTGGCAGGGGATGTCGGACATCTGCAACCACGTCCACTGCAGGTGTGCATCGCCTCTTGTGATGAAAATGATAGATGGTGCTCACTCGAGTACGTTGCAGAAATCACGACAAATGGTGTCCGATGTGCACACGTGTACGTTTACGGTTGGGATAAATGTTGACGAGTTTGTTGCTCGTAGGGACCCCCTCCCCCCTCGTGCATAGAACGGTATGGCGCACCCCCTCCGCCACGGCAAGGCCATCAAGGACAGCAGCGTCCATTAACATGGCAATGGGCGGTCGTTCCGGTGGTTGGGAAAATTCTGAACGACACATCGTTCAACAAGGGGGCTATGCAATGGGTGGAACTCTCCTGAATCTACCGGATATCCGTTTGCACGGACTATATTTGAGGACCCCGTCCCCCCAAATCCCTTTGCTATCCCCCCCTCACCTGCACATGATGACATTCTTCCCTTGGCCATGGAGAACAACTGAATAGTGACAACCCCCCCTCCCCCCCGCCGCTGACCGCAGGAGAGGAGAAAGAATGGGCTTCGCGCCATCGGTGGCCGATTGCGTGGCAAAACTCACGCCAGGCGTGTTGTTGTTGCCGACTCTGCCCCATACAGCTTAACGTTTTTTTTTCTACATACTTGTGTTTGTGTATTAGACATGTTTTATTTTTTGCATTCCGAGCCAATTTATCGTTTTCGTCCGTCCACCCTTGATGTATTGGGGGTCAGGGACACAGACAGGCTAGTTGAGAAGGAATGCTGTGATGGACAAGAGACAAACCTTGGTGTAGACGGGTACGCACCAACCGACGACGGAAGGTTTGATGAGACGATAGGTCTATCTGCTGTGTACATACTGACTACGGGTGGGTCCGCTCGTGGAACAGCTTGAGAACGTACAACAAACATTGGACCAGTGACGTATGGCTTGATTCATGGATGGACCCCATGTTGGGTAAACTTTGTTAGTGCTGGACTACAGAAATACCTAGTTTGGGGCAAGAGTCTCAGCCTAGAGCGCACACAAATGCTGGGATGAGCGTGTACTGCAAGAAGAGCCATCACTTGGGATCGATTGACATTTGCACGTACATGATGCAGTATTACTCCGAAGTAGATACGGTATTCTTCTTTTGCCTGTTTATTCTCTGGTTTCTGTTTAACAAACACAATTTGAACTCCGAGGGCGAGAGGTGGGGTGGAAGAGCTCTGTTTTTTCGAGATGGACGCCAATGTTTACGAATTCCTTTCCTACAGTAGCACGCTTATCAGGTATGGTTCGCTGAGGCACGAAGATAGATGCAATAGCTCTCTTAATTTGTAGTAGTGAGCGGTAGCCTCACATCGACGTAGTTGCGATTGTTTATGCCGAGAGATGGACTCTACCTGGTGTGGGGGGGTGGGGGGAGAGCTAATTCCCTGGCCTACCCTGCTTGCGTTCTCTGAAGCTCGTGTTTGCTCGTCTTTGAATTTGCTTGTCTTGGCGATTAGTGCCTTCATGTACTCGGGATTTGCTTTTTTGTCTTTTTGCATTGCGCCTTGGGTTAGTGTGCAACTACCTAAACCCAGCCTCTCTGCTGTTCTTGAAGAACAGGTGGTAGGAGGCAGGCGTGCTAGAGAACAGGGCGGTATTTTCTTATATGAAGAGAGCGCATGATCGATCGTGTAAGCTGCAGGAGGAACGAAGACTAGATAGGGGGAGATGCTGCTAGTTGCAGATACAGACTAAAGAGCATGCATGCGTAAGATTACTGCAGAAACTTGTAGGGTGTAGTAGGCGGTGGTAGTAGCTGTGAAGATCTGGAAACAGACCTGTGGGGCAATTCGCCAACGGTCCATGCCACCCGAAGGTTGCGGTAGGTAGGGGGGGGTGTACTCATAGTCGAGCATGCCGTAGCCATTGACCTCGCATCCCTACAAAGCCGGGACGGAGCACGCCGGGTTCTCACCGGACCAGGCTCTCACATCACCAAGCGCGAAGCGCCGTGAGATATTCGGCGAGTCGCATGAAGGGTGCGCTGCATCCTGAAAAGGGTGTTCGGCATCTTGTGCTTACTTCCGTGCGTCGGATGACAGCTGCGTATGACTTAATTTATTTTCTGGTGCCTTCACTTCCGGAGACTGTTGTAAGCACTGTGTAACTGCCTCGAGGGTGCTTGACCATTGTAACACAACGTGGTGCGATCATCCCCCTTGCGCGGAGTGAGGGTTCTCCACCCCGTACAACATGATCTACTCATGTGTGATTAATGTTTGCAAACTTCACACAGTACAGTACGAACATGGCGCTATGGCCATTCGAACAGAAATATCAAGGATTAGTCTAGGTGGCACCACCTCCCCCCTACAGTAAACACAAACGAAACAAACGCGACTGATTCGCTCTGAACCCGCCAGAGAGATTGAAGTGCTGCACCCGAAATGGTGATTTTGGCCAGGAAGATGGGAGATGTCATTCAAAGCTTTCCAGTTGGGAACCGTTCGGCAGCCGTGGGTACTGTACGTGACTACCCTGTGCTATAGGTTAGTGGTGGAACAACCGAGCTCGGTCCGAGGGATGTGATATCCACCGTCAAAACGCTGTGTGGGTGTGTCGCCCATGCCGAGCAACACTCTTGCGTGGGAATCATCTCCACACGTACCTCGTGTGCGAGGTTCAAGTTGTTACCACATGACTCAAATCCCACGCAACACCAGAGGAGAAAGGTCTTCTGCCGTCGGTGTGAGAGTACACCGACGAACTTGCCGGCGTTACACTCAAGAGCCTCACGAGGCAAGCCCAAATATTGTGTGGCGTCACACAGACAACGCTGAGTATAGTTGGTGACAGCGCCGCGTGAGACTCTTGCCTCAACTTGACAAATCATAACCCAGGTGCGCACACGAAGAAGCATGGGTCCCGTCCACTTGTACATGACGTTTCGGACAAGCATTGCAGAGTTTATTTTACGCCGCGCCGTTCGTTGATCTGCCGATGCGAACGCCACGTTCGTCGTCTATCACACAGAGTGGCACGGGCAGCCCCATCAACGAAACACCGCTCAGCAACAAGCGAAATCGTTCGGGTACGTAATAGTAGTTCATCGCACACTATCACACAGAGTGGCACGGGCAGCCCCATCAACGAAACACCGCTCAGCAACAAGCGAAATCGTTCGGGCACGTAATAGTAGTTCATCGCACACTATCACACAGAGTGGCACGGCCAGCCCCATCAACGAAACACCGCTCAGCAACAAGCGAAATCGTTCGGGCACGTAATAGTAGTTCATCGCACACAAGCTGCTGTATCGACCAGTCCTATTCTGACAGGCGAAATACACACGCCGAGCATAAATATTCCGTAGCACACGTGTGTATATTGCAGCAACACATGTCATTTCGGGAGTAAATGTTTACCACGCTCCAGATGTCTTCCCCTCGCGGACAAGAATAATTCGCCAAAATTCTACAGACCTCACATGCACGCCCAAAGCAGATAACCTACAAAATGCCAAGGTGGATCCAGTTTTCATCATACGACACGGCTTTGATATTACTCTGCCGTACGTAGCGCCACGCAACATGACTGACTGTGTTATTGCCCTGCCGCCGTTGTGGAACCGTCGGGCTTCTACACGTCCGCAGCTTCTGCCGCTTCCTGCGCTTTGGGCTCCAGGAATTCGTGCAGCTCCTTGGCGGCAGCATCTGCCTCGAGCATGCTGGCGATCAGCTCATCGACAGGCACGTCTCCCATGTCGCCGAAGCCTCTTGACCGAACGGCAAGGGTCCCCGCGGCAACCTCCTTCTCGCCGACAACGGACATCACCGGGATGCGCTCCTGGCGTTTTTTTTTTTTTTTTGGGGGGGGGGGGCAAATGGAGGTCAAGCGTGAAAACGGAGCGTTGCCGAGGTGAACAAGCATGGAATCAGAAATCCGGCAGCTCTTAGGTTTTGAGGTTGCGGCCAGGGTTGGGGTAGTAGGGAATCCAAGCAAACATTAAGCAGCTCGTTGGTAGATTGAATCGAGGGAGCGAGGGATTGCAGGCAGGCAAGAGAGACTTCCAGGCAAAGAACGTGTGTGTGTACGCCGACAGTCCAGTGAACCCAACGCCCACGGCAACATCCCATTCCTGCCTCAGCAGCAGAGTACCGTATATGACACAAGATAACACACCCCCTGGACCAAGTTTCAAAGTTCCATTACTCCACGACAAAGAGGATGCATCAACGAAACGATACATTTTTGGAAAGCTCTCGACGAGACGGTTCCAACGCCGCCGTTTTCGGCGCCGTGACTCTTTCTGTTGTTGAGAAATCGAGATTTGAAAATCGGTCCAGGGGGTGTGTTATCTTGTGTCATTTACGGTAACCCCAACTCCACGACGGAGCCACGTGAACGAGTTGTTTAGTGGGTTGGGGAATCGAGGCCCATCCATTCTTCGGATTTGTTCCGGGCGGACTCTGAATATCGAAAGGGCACAGCCGCCGGTGTTTACAAGCTGACGACGCACGGGGAGAAACGTTACGCGACTATGTACATACAGCCACGGAACTTGCGAAAGTCTCCTCGCGTTCCGTACAATAACCGACCAAAGTAGCTCTCTGTCTTTCTGTCCTCCTCGATTGTTTTGGGTGGATGGCTACGGGTAGCGCGGCGTATGCTGGGGACTTGCGAGGCATTCGACACTCTACTCATTTCAAGTACCTCTTGATACCTCTAGGTCTCGGCTCGGACAGTATAACAGACAGGACGTGAAACAGGACGTGTAAGTCAATCGGGCCAAAGCCCTCTCTTCCCACTTGACGACCTAGTCTACAACTTGATAGTTCACATTGGATGGCGAAACCCGTAGCCGTCGCAACCCTGGTACCCAGGCTGGCGTTACGCTATTATAAGTCAAAGAACGCATTATCCACACACATGGCCGATGCACGCCCCACACACCCCACCACACCGCGCAACAACGCTTACCTTTTCTGCTGTGCGGATCTGCTTGGCTAACCGCTCTGACCCTCTGTCCACCTTCACTCGGAGCCCGGCCTTCTTGAACTTCGACTGCACCTGTGTCGCCGCGATTCCCAAACAATCACGCAAAAGAGTTAAATGACATGCCGTATTTAACACCTTCGTACCAACCATATCAAACAAACCAAGCATCATGGAGACAGGCATGCCACGCGTTACTACATAATACTGTAACCAAGAAAAAGCTCGANCTCGACCACCATTATGGTTACCGCCAAAAGAAAACAGAGGTAAAACAAAAAAAACGGTACCTTGGTTGCCGATTTCACGAAGTAAATCGGCTTGTTTTACAACGTCGTTGCCAAGCGACGAAAACTCAACCCCGATGGCAAACACCACCGAGGGGGGAGGGTGCACGAAAATTGTGTTTGACGTTCGAGGGGGTCATGTTGCCCCATCAAAACTGACGGGAGAGGATGTACCCGCCGGATAGTGGTAGGGGGGGGGGGGCTGGGGTTGGAGGGTGTGTGTGTGTGTGTCGCCTCCTGTCGTTTGGCTGATTTCGACAGAATACATACATAGGAGCACGATAAGATAAGAGTGGATGGAGCACATCGATTGAGTACTCTGCCTTGCAGCGTTCGATTGGTCTATATAGAAGCCAACGCACAGGCAGTTGTGCAAATGTTGACATCTACGCATAGCAAGGTACACTTCTTCTTTCTGTTGACGGCGGCTGCCTGTCGATTTGATGTGTCGGCAACGGCAGCAGCGTGAAAAAACAAAACAAAAAAGAGAAACATGAGCAGCAACGCCGTAAAACCATTACCACACCCTGAGGAAATCCAACTGCGCTAGTACTTATGATAGCGACACCAAGATGGGTGTTTCAAGATTCGTCAAATCTGTGTGCCCCGCAAACTCTCACCTTGACACGATCCGGGTTTGCAAACGGCTGCGCGCGCAGGCTTTCCAGCCCGGCCCCATCGACGTCCTCCCTAGACGTGTCCTCGAAAGCGCGAGCCTGGTCGTGTTGTGTCGTGTTGGGCATGTAGGTACACACGAGTCAGAGAGCGCGCACCTCGAAGGAGAACACACAGCACGCAGCGACGGGGCAGGAGTGAGTGTCCTGGGCAAACGAAAGAAGCAAACGCTTGAGGTATGGAACCATGTCTCGGCGCCAGAGGTGGATGGACGGACACGTGGACGGCGTGCCTGCGAGGCCCTAACCGGGATGTGGCCAGTAGCCTGCTCGAGGATATTCTTAGCTTGGTTTTAATGCAAGTAGGGGGTACGGGGTTGGGTTGGAGGTTGGGGTTAGGGTTGTTGTTTCGAACCCCTCTTCTCTATATCGTTGACAAATAATAATATCCTCGCGAAGTCGGTCCGGGTGTGGGGTAGGGGGGGGGGGGGGGGGG